AATTAAGGTATCACTTGGTAGTGGTCTGTTGGGACCATATTTGCTATTAGACTGCTTTTGGCATTGCCATGAACTGTGGCTAAAAGGGCTGCTCCAGGGCTTGCTAAACCATACTGATAAAACATAGAACTTTCAGCACAGGTTCTAATTCAAGATCCCAGGATGCCCACTCAGAAGTAGGAAGATTCAACACTTGTAAATTGATCTGTTAATAGTACTCACATTATTCTATACTCACCCTATAGTAAAGCAGCAGTTATTCCCAAGAGTGAGTAAAAAAATCCTCAGGTATGGTGGGGCTGACAAATTCCCACTGTGGTGAAGGGTGTCATAGCCAGGTGGAACCACAAAGCAACCAGAAGGGACCTGTTATTCACAGGCAGTAGTACCCAGAGCCACAGGCCCTGAAGTCCCAAAAGGTTTAGGACCTGCTTGATCCTGCTGGGAGCATGGCTCAGCTGGCCTGGCCTGAAGTGAAGCCTTTCACAGCACTTGTGATTATCCCAGGATGTGTAAGAGAGCAGAGGGAGATGGAGGTTAACACTGATGCCAGCTGCTCTAGTAACCTTCAGCAGTTTATACAGCCATGTGATTGAGGTACCAATTTTTACATGCTGTGTAAAATAACGATTCACCTTTGTCCCCTTCTCAGGGGCAGAGAAGGGCATTATAACATTACTGAAAGACTTCTGGCTTAAGAAAACCCAAAAGACATAAAAGAGCCAGAGAACCCCTCTGCAACACACTGCTTTTCTGCAAGCCTTTCTAATGATTAGAGATGATTAGCCACTATCAAGAGAAAATTATCAACAGCCAGAAGATGCTGCTGCTTTTTTATTAGCTTAAAAAAACCCACCCAAATCCAACTTCCTAAACCTCTAGTCATATTTAGAGATCTCTTATTGCTCTTCTAGTATTATATGATGCCTACATATGTACACACACACACAAATATTTGGAAGTGCAATAGTAACTGTGACCTAAAAGATAATTTCAGATCTATCCTTTAACTATCCTTTAGTGATATTAAAAATAATGCATCTTCTGTTTAACATGAACTGAGAACTAAAAGAACAAGTACTTTTAAACTGGTATGCTAAATACCTTGTCTTCTAGAACAGGTTCCTTGGAAACTTGAGTTTCCATTCCATACCCAAGGTTCAACACAACACAGCTGCTCTCTGTGCAATCTCCCATCCTCTACTCATATTCAACAATTTTCTCACTGACCTGCATTGTATTTTTCCTCAAATCCCCCATTTTATCAAGTGCATGCATTGGCCTTCAAATATTGGTTTGATCTGCAAAAGTAATAATCCTTTGCATTCCATTACCAAATGAAAACATTTATCAGAGGACACAGGCAGATCTTTGGGCAGTGTTGTTCTACACAACCTTCCAGTTTCAGTGGCATAAATAACCCTTCCTGGTACAGTCTTTTCAACAATTTCTGTTCGCTTTGTATCCAGTTCTTTTAAGTCATATTGCTTTAACTTCATGGGATACTCTCAACAGGTGTCTCCAAAAGCCTCACAAAAGCTGAGACACGATTCAAAGGCGTTACCAAGTCTGAAAAATAAATTAGCTGCTGGCAAGTTATCACTGGTCCTTGCTTATTCACTTTTTTGTCTTTTAGATGACTTATAAGTACTGAATATTTCTTGCTTTTATTCAGAAACTGAATTCATTAGTCAGGTACCATTAAATTAGGAACAGGCTCCTTCCCCACCACAAAGAAAAAAAAACCTTACATCATCCATTCACCCACCAGACTTAAGTTAGCATTTATCTGTAATGATATTACTTAATCTAGGACAAAAGAACAGATTTATTATTAGTGTATTTTTGGCCTATTCAGCCTTTAATACCCACTCCTTCAAATTTATTCTCAGCTTTATATTTGATCATGCAGCCAAATACTTTTGTCTTCACTTTTTAAGTTTTAAAAAACTGGTTATATATTTGATTATGGTATATTATTTTCTATAATTAGCAGAATAGTTAGGAATGCCAAGGTCTCAGACTAATAAATCTGAGATCAGTCCTTTGCAAAAGGGGAAACAGAAACAAGAAAAAAATATTAATAGACAAGTGTTGGCACAAGAAATTACGTATGGATAACATTAGAAACCTGTGAGGTAAATATTGGATAAATCACTAGAAGGAAGCGGTAGAAGTTTTCTAGATAAAATGTAATTTAAAAGCAGCAAATAACAGAATGCTTAAAAAATGTATGAATATTAAGCAGCTCAGAAGCCTACTAAAATACAACTTTATAATAATGTTTTAAGTCAATGAAATATAAAAAAACTATACAGGAAGTTTTGGCTAAAAAAAAAATTAGTATCAAAAAAGCAGATTTTCCTTTAAAATAATCATAAATATGTATTTTAGTGAAAATTACTTTTTTCTTCTTCAAAACAACTGACTTTCTAGAAGCTGAGCACAATATGGTATCCTATTTGGCTTTGACCTGATGGTCTAATTTTCCAAGTGAAGAAACTTAAATATTGAGAAAGTTTCACGGAGTAAATGATTAAAAAAAATAAAGTCAGCCACTTGAGCATAAAACATACATATAAAGTGTATTGGGTTTTAGACAGTAGACAACAGCTTCTCATGACACTACAGAGCAAATGAGTCTTCTTCAGAAGTACTTACAGTATGTCAAAAAAACCCCACATATGGCCCCTAAGATAAGAGAACTAATAGGATCCATAAATCAGTGGTCAACATATAAAGTCTTATCATAGAAATATTGTAAACAAAATATAACCAGGATCCCAATTATCTTTGGTATACCAGACTCCCAGGGAATCTCTTATGACACATTTTATATCCAACTTCAGAGGGAAAACTGTTTAAACATTTTGCATTTAAACTATCACATAAAAATCCAGTATATCTCTATGATCACAGTTCAGAATGGTTATTTTCTTTAAATAAAATGCTTCTGGCCTATAATATCATATCTTAATCATTCTGGCCAAAGATCCATTTCTGAAAAGGGTCTGATGGATTACAGGATGCCAAACTTGGATGCTCTCCATTTCCTGTAAGGCACATATGTAGTGCTTCATTGTACAGAGTTTGATCCTAAAGTGAGGAAAAAAGGAGGAAAAGAAAAGTGAACAAACGATGAACATGCTAGTTCCCCCACAGTTCTGCCCCCAAGCTGGTGTTAAAGCTCATACAGGTGGTGCAGGGGGGGCTAGAAAATATGTCAATAGTATGTAAGTGCCAACTTGCATTGCTAGGAAAATTTTGTAAAATATTTTAAAATACAAAACACCTGAACTGACTTCCAGGTGGATGTCTAGACAAACACACTAAAAGACTGGTTTTTTAAGTGACATTCCTACTAGTGACATCAAGTTTTGATCTGCAACTGAAACCTCCTGCTTTTCAGGTTTTCATTTTCCTGCTAAAAGGAAATTTACACATTTTTGGCTTCAGTGTTTTTGTTTTGTGGGCGCTTTTGCTTTTATTTAAAATCCAAAATTAACTAACAAACATGCCATTTCACTGCACAGGATATGTACCTTCTGGTGCAGCCACTGCTCCTCCCCAACAGCAAAGGTTTTCTGCCCTTTGTAGGTGCACTCACGAAGCTGCACAGGTCCCTTGGAAGCATGCAGACAAAGCTCCTTCTGAATGTTATGGCGAATTTCGTGGTGTGCAGAATATTCAAAGTACTATTTAAATAATTTAAAAAAAAATTTGGTAAATAAACACAAAGTATTAAACTAAATTAAGCCTTTCAAATTCCCATACACAAAATAATACGTTTCTTATTAAAAACTTTGAGACTACAGAATAATTCCTCTAATTTTTAACATAGACAGTTCAAAAGTGTTTACAAAACTAAAAGCAGTTTTCAGTAGTAATACAATATTAATTTATACTTGTATGTATAAATTGGAAATAAATTTTGCTGCATGTGTACTGTGATGCAAAATTTTACTCCCAACCAGACAGTATATAATTCAAGGAGACAAACTCAAGAGTACAGATAGTTTAAGATAGCTTAAATTTTGGCATTTCTTAACTAAAAATCTTTATTTAATTCTGTTGCCACATGAAACGATGCTGATTGCTGTATGCCAACTTTTGCTGCTTGATCTAAACAACAAATGTGAACAATTGGATGCTATTATATCCTCTTGTGAGGTAACCATTAGAAAATTATAAGCATGTATTTTGTGAGTTCATTTTACCATGATTTCCTGACAGCAGAGTACTCCTAAGGCTCACCTGTAAGTCTGACCCTAACAGGGATTTACTTCTAAAAGCT